ACAATCTGATATTATCCAATCTGAGGATTTTCTCCGTGTCTGCAATACCAACAGGCTCAAAATCGACAGGTTTAAATCTTCGCTCGTTGCGTTTGAATTGGTCATTGATTAGCTGCAATTCATATGCTCAGATTTGCAGTTATTATCATTATACTATGTAACTCACCCGCAACAAATTCACTTCCCAATTATCAGCTATATCTTTAAATGAATCTCTCACAAACTCAGGGATGTAATCGTAGTGACTGTTGGAGCAACTCATCGTGATAGAAGGATACAAACTAGAGATTGCGAACGCTGCAAATATTAGATTATGTTATCAAGTACTTATGAACAATGGTGGTGCCGTCGAATCGCACAATCTCGCAATATAATATTTTTTTATAAACACATATGTGTAAATATTTAACAAATCTACTAATTAGTATATTATGCGTTGCTTTGATTAGTGAACGTTAGATATATAGTTCATATTAATATTGAAATTTTTATACGTATATCCAGTTAATAATTTTAAAAAATCTTAAGGGACAAAAATAGAAAAAAGAAAGGTCTAAGCGTGCAGCAAAGAAGGAAGCTAAAAAGACAAAAATTGTACACACCTAAATTGTACCTCTGGACACCGTGTAATAATTTATAGTTTTGTCGATATGGAGATCTAGCCATAATAGTGGAATGTTTAATACATGTTCAGTATATTAGTTATTAACATATTTAGCAACAAGGTGATATCATAAAAATATTTATATTACATGACTCATGTCGATCATTGTCATTTAGAGATCAAGTCAAAGGAAACGAGATGTACGCATTGTATCACCTACGAAATTGGGTAAAATAAATGCAGAAATTTTGAAATCTATCAAAACGCTTCAATTTAAATATAAAGAAGATATTACGACAAGTTTTTCAATACAAACTAAAGTGGAACCTCGCTTAACGAACACGTCGCATAACGATCATTTCGCTTAACTAGCAAAATTAATTGTAAGAAAAATGGCTTTACAGCAAATCAAAGCTACATAAGTCCTCAAGTACGTCTTCATGTACGGCAAGACCTTATCTTTCACCCACTCCTCCGGTAAATCATCACCACAGTCTTCCTCATCCATGAAATCGCTAAAAAAAACATTGATTTACTCTTTTTTTAACTGTTGGAAGGGCTAAACCTATCAAATTTCTAGAGAACTGAATCAGACAACTTCGTCAGCTGAATCAACATCGGATGGTATAGACTATCAATATTTATCCCTTGACATACCAAACAAAATAAAGGGCAATTTCGTTTTCCTAGACAATTTCTAGAAAATTATAAAAATGCCCAACTAGGCATATTTAAAAGGTGGAACAATGCGTGTCCCACCGCCCCTGAAAGAGTTAAAACAGCGTCTTTTTGTTACTACGCCTCACTTGAAAAACATGCTACCTTAGCGCCTACCCTTGCTTCAATTTTGAAATAGTATGTCTATATACTTGCAATTTGTTTTTCTGTGAGCGAAATCCAGACAAAGTTATGTATGAAAGCTGTTTTAAAATAACATTTGATTCTATTTTCATGATGACCAACTTACAGTGCGGCGCGCCTATTTGCTTGTTAGCTCCACACGGCCTTGACAATAAGTATATGCTATGACACTGACGTGATTTTCATTATGCAAATAATGTTGAACATGCACTGATACAATTATACAAGTAGGAGAATAAAGATGTCTGCTGAACAGAACGCACTTATTGTAGGGCAGTTGGTACGCGCTTGCGCATTCTCTCCACTTGTAATCGCGTATCGGAGGCCAGATCAGGCCAGACTCGCTTCTGTCAATAACTGATTAACATTATCAAGTCAAAAAACGATACAGTGTTGTGGCCAACCACTTTATTATTAATTATTGATATAAACAAGCCTATCAGCACTTGAAACATC